ATTTATCGATTTTTTTTTCCTGTTGGCATTCGGCCTATTCTTCCCCAATGCTGATCGATTTTTGAGTTGATGTCGTGTGAGGCAGGGGCCATTAGCCCAGAGGAATCGTCATTGCATCCTCCGACTTGGCCTTCTGGAAGTCAGAGATGACCGAAAGAATTTGATCTACAGTCGACTGCCCCGATATTTGCGGGACTTAGGGCATACAGCTACGGACGAATTGTTACAGGCTGGGAATGGCTGAAACGCCTAGTTTAATGTTTATTGTTAAGACACCAACTTATTCTTAGATTATCTTGGTAAAACACTTTACTATTAATCAGGAAGTCAAGTTAGGCGAAAGAACGTTTTCGATTAATTCGAAGTAAAGTCGATATCAAGCGCAATTCTGGCTCACTTGGTAACCAGCGGTCATCGAGTAGACGTCAACCAAGCGTTTAGAGTCGTCTATAAAGTGCCAGCTAAACATTCGAAGTTCCTGCGTCAGCGGATACTTGCGACGGCAGAGGCAATCGCCATACGCCTCATTAACCCGATTTTATGTGTGTGGAAAACATTTGTAGCGGCCTTAAGGCTCTCGTGACCGAAAGCCATTTCAACATCCGCCCCCCACGCCTCTTACCACGCCGCGAAACAGCGACGAGTCTGCGGCATCAAGCATCCCCAGGCCACCGACGCCGTCACAAGACGTTGACACCTTGCGTCCTCACTCCTCCCAACAAAATTTGAGACGAGGACGACGGGACGACATGAACTAATTGTTGGACCCTCTCCCCTCTCTTCCCACCACTTTCTCTGGTCCCCAATTTAGACTAGAATCTGACCCCTTTGATCCCTTTACACCTCTCTCCCTTATTACTTATTGGTTTGCTTAAAACTTTCGTTAACACTACCTTATATTACTGTATTGCCTGATGATGGATTAATCGAAAACGTTCGTCCGCCTAACTTGACTTCCAGAATGATTACATGAATATCATCGCTGAAATTTACTATTACTTCAAAGACATCGCAAAACATTGCTCTTTTACCTATATGACTTTCAAATAGGCGTGTACAGACCTACAGCTATTGCTTTGTACCTTCCTCGGACAGGTACCTCCATGTTCGGATAAATCAGTTGATAGGCACTGACTGAAGACTGATATGAATATGGGGACCGAAGTCCATCAGCCACCGCGGAATATGGCGTAATATTCATTAAACTACCAACAGACAGTGAATAGTATAACCTTTGGACATTCGAACCTCATTGAGACTGGAAGAACAAATAAAAATGGAATACCCACAGCCCAACTTTATTCGTTACAAATATTTAATGGTGGTGCTCATTTGGTGTATCTGTAACGGTTCTACAGCCCCTCCTTCAAACTCGAGACGCCACTGACGTGCTCTCGAAGTGGCAATCTTGTTCACCCATTCGCGCTCGACCCAGCGCGATTGCCGACGGCACATGCGACGCGCGGCCTTTGCC